CGACGTCATTAACTAAGTCGTCAGCTGTTTGCTACCATTATGGCCAAGGACAATACACACTTGCTTATCGAACTCGATTTTTGGAATCAAGTTCATATGGTGTTGCACCGTTGCCGACATCAACGGCAACAGCAACGTTAGCAGTTTGCGTCAGCGGTCGTAGTTAAGAATATACATTGATGATGAAAAATATTATTTAACTGTGGTACAAACACTCTACGTCAAGACGAGAAGCGACACGCTACGTCATCACTGGCGCTTTGGTATGGCGGGGGCGCTCAAATTTGACTGGATTTAACCTATTTCCCAAAATCATAAATCACAAAAAAAAATATGATACTTGCTTCTTGGATTTACGAAATAGGTACCAAGATCGTGTGTAAAAATCGTGTAATTGTGACTATTGTGAGACTGAAAGCGTGTGAAAACGTGTAATTTAACCAGCATATCGTGTAATATCACAAATTCAGATTGGCAACACTGGGTCCAGTGTTCTGTGCATTTCACTTATCTGTTTGTACCTATTATCAACTTCCGAAAAGCGAAATGGAATAAATCTGTCTAAAGGCTCGCTTTCCTCGGATGCGGAACGGAGACGGAACGGGTGCCGCAGACGTTGCCGGCATTAAAAATATAAAGATGTGCTTTCCTAAGCAGCGGTGGCGCGACGGCGGCGGAGCGCAGTTTTTTTGACGCTAGCGGAATCACGCCACCGGTCGGTCGACAGGCAACTTCGACGGAGCGCAAGACGGACGGAATATTATAAATTTAAAAATATCGAGTTTTACAGAAGAGCAAAGTGAGTTGTTGATTGATTTTAGTGTGGCAGTATCCTGTGTTGTATAATTTATCAATTTATGTATGTCTATTGAAATAAAAAATAGCCTATTTTCACACACGGATTGCCGAACCGCCCACGTTCACGTTGCGTCGCCTTCGAGGAAAGCACTAGCTTCCAAGCGCGTTACGTCGGCAGGCGCTATGACTCCGTCACGCTTGCGTTCCGTCTCCGTCTCGCATCCGAGGAAAGCGAGCCTTAAGGGCGGGTATTATAAAACTGCTTTGACAGTTAACTTGAGGTTAACTTTTTGAAATACATGTAATTCCAGAAGTTAACTTCAAGTTAACTCTCAAAGTAGTTTTATAATACCCGCCCTAAATCTGAAAGTATATACAGGGTGTCCACTTAGTGCGATATCGGACGATATCTCCTTACAGGGTAATGCAAGAAAAAAAATTTAAATTACAAAGTTGTTTGATACTCAAATATGCATTAGTTAAAAATATTTTTGAATATACAGGGAGCTCCGTTTATGGGGTATGCGACAAAACTTTGTCATTTCAAATGGAACACCCTGTATGTGATTGCATATTTGGATTCTACGTAAAATTCTGAGCAGATTTCATGTGATATACCCTATACCTAAGTTCAACTGTTTTGGAAATATTGACAGTTGAAAATTGACTTTTTGCAATTTTGACAGGCCTGAACGGTTAATTTTAGAAGAAAACCCATTTTACATTCCTATCTGAAATTTTCATAAACTATCATTTGACACCAATTTTGAATTTAACCGGAGATTAAATTTAACTGGAATTTTTAATCATGGATTAAATTCAAAGTTGGTGTTAAATGATAGTTTATAAAAATCTAAGACAGGAACGTAAAATCGGTTTTTGTCTAAAATTAACCGTTTAGGTTTTACAGCCTGTCAATGTTGCAAAAAGTTAATTTTCAACTGTCCATATTTCCAAAACAGTTGAACTTAGGTATAAGGTATATTCATTCATTCATAAAATCTGCTCAGAATTTCACGTAGAATCCAAATATGTAATCAAATACAGGGTGTTCCATTCAAAATATCAAACTTCTGTCGCATACCCCATAAACGGAGCACCCTGTATATTTAAAAATATTTCTAACTAATGAATATTAGAGTATCAAACAACTTTGTAATTTAATTTTTTTTTCTTGCATCACCCTGTAAGAAGATATCGTCCGATATCGCATTAAGTGGACACCCTGTATTTAAATGAGAAAAATTGACAAGAATGGCAGGAGTGAATTTTACTTAGCGGCAGAGTTGGTTAAAAAAGAGTGCACACTGGCAAAGAGTGCAAAGACACTGGGTAGCACCCCAGATATTTTCGAACTAGCGTGAAAAGTGAAAACTGTGAAAAGCCGCTTTCCAGCTGACATTGCGTTTGTGCTTCAAGCACGGTGCAGCACAGTGTTCTGTGTTTGAAACGCAAAAGTAAGCAGCTCTCGAAGCGCAGTGCGGCTGGAACACGAACACGCGCTTGAAGCATTTACGCGCGCAAAAGCTCGATTGCGTGCTCAAAATATTCAGCTGAAAGCGGCTTTAGTCACTGTCAGTGTTGCCAATTTGCGGGTAATTACCCGATTTGCGGGTAATTTGACTGAAAGCGGGGTAATTTTCTAACATTTCATAAATCGGGTAATTTCGGGTAATCGAAGCTTTACATTAACTATTAAAATTTTTGGAAATTGTCATAGATGTTTCGTTTCTGTCGAGCGTGCTCCGGTCATATTTGCTTCTCTTTTATTTTCCCTTCTATAAAGAAAGATAGAAAATAGAAAGATCAAGGAAAGAGAAGGCAAGACCTGGAGTGGCAACTAATCTATCGGCTATCATGGTGGGTTTATAAAAAAAAATTAACATTTAAACTAAGAATTAACATTTAACTTAAGTAATTGAAGTTATGATGTATTATAGCGTTTCATAAAAAAAAATTGAGACTTATCAACTTAGAATTAGGAATACATAAGCGAACGTTGAAATTCTTAGAGTTGTAACCCTAATAACACCGATCTCCCAGAAACATCCTATTTATGTACCATTAAGGTCCTTATGTTTCCGACATAAATGGTACATCGCTGCGATGTTTGTAATGTAACATCTCTAGGATGATTGTCCTGAAATGTTTTAGAAACATCCTTTCGAAAATATCTATCGACAAAAAGATTTTTTGTTCTCAAAATTAGATACTTATTACAGCTAAAAAATGGCTAACATTATTTTACAAAACTAGGTAGGACCTCAGACCGGTAGGACCCAGTATTAAATTTGCCAATTTTGTGTGATTTCTGAAAATGTCTCTATCACACACACAAACTAATTTCAAATTCCATAATATACCTGTAATGTATATATAGATAATAAGGAACTTAATATTAATTTTGTATTGTAACAACAGCAATATTTAATTTTTCATTCGACTTACAACTTGGAATAAAATAAAATATGTATTGATAAAAGTCTTCTCTCTTTTCAACTTTCAAACATCGTGAATATTCGTGAAGCCGAAGTGTATGGCGCAGGCGCGTGCTCAGGCATTTGTACTTGTACCGGTCAGGACAGGAGGGCACGCCACCACGTCGGGTCGGCGCCGCAGCCAGCGCAGACGGGCAGAATCAGTCGAACGGGTCGTCCTGTGCGCTACGCTTGTGTTGTTGGGCGGAATTTTATTTCGTAATGGCGTCGTGCTGTGTTGAGGATTTGTCAATTTGTGGTTTTTCGCTACACCTAGTTGTGCCATTTTGTGTTCGAAAGGATCTCTGCGACCTACCAGTGCTTATTAGTTGGTGAGAAAGATTATTTGTTGAAAGATAACGTCGCATAACTATCAATTGTTTAGTTTATTTAATTTCAATATGGCGTCGGTTAGGAAATTTCTAACTTTTCTGATAAATAGCCCCTAGAAACCCGAACTTCATTCTTCATTAGGTAAGAGAAAATAACCAATAATTATTTTTTGTTTTCATAGTTGATTACATTCTAGGTGTGCAAGTTGAATTGTACTTCAAGAACTTTGGATTTTGGTTCTGTGGTTGTTTTGGTTAGATAATGGTACCTTTATGAAATTGGAGCACCAACAAAAAAAGAAAACGCCGAACTCCCCTACTACAACATGCTGCCACTGCCAAACTATGGTTTTCGATGACATGACGGGGCATAAATACTACATTATTTAGGCAAAATTGTCCGTCGATTATTATTAGTTGATAGATAATCAATATAAGTATACATGTACCTTATTTTTTCAATAAAAAATGTTATTGGAAACTGATGTGCCTACTTAATTTTATAATTTTCAATTTTTGTTTTTTTTTTGGAAAAAGTTCTGACTTCCAGAAAATAGAACGAAAATTGAAAATTATTGAATTAGGTAATTTTTAATCCATAATCCTAAAATTCATTCACCTATTAAAGTCATACTAGAAACATATAGAGGATGTTTCTTACACCTGCCCCGGATGTATTAGGTACATCCCGCGTCATCTTAGAAACATCCCTGAGAGATGTTTATAGGACATCGCAAATGATGACACGGCTGTTGCCTGCAACATCCCAGGGATGTCCCCAGGAAAATAGGGACCTCCCAGGGACGTCTTCATTATCCCTGATGGATGTTTCTGGAATGTTTCTGCGATGTTACTGTGTTATTAGGGAAGTTAATTTTCCTAAATTAGTTTCGGTATTATTTTTTTTATAAACCCACCATTAACCTAAAATAAATTTTGATGCGAAATGCACATTTGCAACTTTAGCATTAGGATTGTTCGGACTAGTACAGAGTCAGGCCTGAATTGAACTGCGCTCGCGCATTTCTTTTATATATGTTCGGATAAACAAATGCACAAGCGCACTTCAATTCCGAACTGATTCTGAACTAACTTCGAACAAACCTAATATCGATTGGCTTGGCATAGGCAGGAAGCACGAGTGTATCTTTCTATCTTTATCCATTCGTCTCCTATACCTACCCTTAAAAAAAATAAAGTTACGTAGACCCTTAAAATATATTTTTTTTTGCTTAGCGCTGTTTTGGAATCTGCCGCTTTCCTCGCCCCAAAAACCTGGTAACACCACAAACGCCAGTAAAGATCGGGTAATTTCGGGTAATTTAAACTAGAAACTCGGGTAATCCGACTTTATCAGATTAGCAACACTGGTCACTGTAGACAACAATCAGCGCAGCGCCATCTCGTTTGCACTGGCTTCATTGGCGTAGCTTTTGCCTAAAACCTTGAAAGAATATTGCGGATGTTTCGGAAGGTTTGTGTATTTTGTATAGATGTCGACATCAGCAGCAAACGCTTGATTTTAGATCTGTGGGTGGTTGTGGTTAGTGTGATTGGCATTTGATTTGGTATTTGGCAATTTTGGCAGCTTCAGGCTTGGCAATTCAAATTCAAACAGAACAAATATATGGTTCATGTATGATCAGTTAATGTTCGTGTCCTCTGAAAATTGAAATAGGAATATATGTTGTTTGTGTACATATTTCTTATTAGTGAAGTGGGTTGTTTGAATCTTATTTCTAGAGACTTGAATCGGATATTAGTGTTATTGGACCTTTAATTTAATTTTCGCCTGAAAATGAGCAAAACAGACCCTGATAGTGATGATTTGGACATCAGCATGACTGCTCAAGAACTGCATATCTTGTCTGAACTCGACAGGTAGTTCATTTTTTTGTACTAGTAGTTTGATATTTAATTTCCAATTACTCTACTTTAGTCGACAATACGGGTACCTCCAATTAAACGAACCAGAAAATGCCAAGAAAAAAGCTCTGGTTCAGAAGGTGAGTAACAACAATAATAATTATAAAATAATTTTTGAGGTTATAATTTTGAAATTTTGTTGTAAATTTTAGGCCATCAAATATCTACAATTAATGGTAGTTCAAGCCCGTAAACAGCAAAAGGAACAAAATGAAAATGAACCACATAATTTTCAAATCAAACAAATCAGCATTGATCCAAAAACTTGGGTCAAACTGGGTCATTTTCATTTGCTGCTTGAGGAATATCGCAAAGGTAATAATTTTGTATAAATTTTCTTCTAAACAATCATTCAGTATCTGTATTTATTTATTTGCAGCTTTATCAGCCTATCAAATGTTTTACAGAACTCAGGCTGATAATCATTGGCAAAACATTTCATTCTTATATGGTTTGGGTTTGGTCTATTTCCACTTCAAAGCCTATCAATGGTAAGTCAATTTTTGGGACTATTTATTTGAATATATTCGCTGGAAATCTTGTTTGATTCAATTAGATAAATTGCTATGAATTGCTTATTTCATTACATGGCCAAGAATTTTAAATTAACAGGATTGCTCATCTGCATAAGGCGTACGTTCGCCTCGAGTCAGCAGGGTCTGCGAGTGACGTCACCAATACCAGCAGCCAATAGTGGTGACGTCATCCGCAGACCTCGATGGAATCCTTGCGATTCAGGCTGTGCTTGTGAGTTAAGTTTTTCGTCGATTTCAAATGGCAGACACTTCCAGCTCAATAGGGCAATCCAAGGAACTGTCAAAAAGAAATTCAAAATGGAGGCTAATGCCATATACACTACGTTTTATTGCGATTTTTGATTTGTGTAAAGTCTGTAAAGTAGTAAAGTGTTGATTTTTTGGAAAATGCATATGATATGTCGCACCTCTAGAGAAACATGGTCATAAGTGCAAATTTGTAAAATTTGGAGGAAACGCTTTTAAAGTTTCCAGAGCTTCTGCAACTCAAAACGAAAACAATAAGCTATACATTTTCTGGCGAATTCAATTTTTATGGAGATTCTGTAATATGTATAGCTCACCTTCAGTCTGCTTTTTGAATTCATCTTACAATTTTACCCTATTTAAAAGTTTTTAGGGCAGAGCCTCTTCAATTATGGCATTGTTGCCCTCTTGTTGCCCTATGGCTTAGATATTTTTTTCAGTTAGGTGAATTAATTAATGACATAAAATGCATTTGCGTCTCTGTTGGTCCATTCACATCGCAAGATTAATAAGGAAAACCGATACAAAATAATTTTTTTCGTAGTTGCTTTGGAATGAATTACAAATTTATTTGTCATTCATATTTACGTTTGTGCGCACAAGTGAAAAGGTCATTGTTTGCTCTAGGAGCGGACATCATTCGCGCCATTTCCACAAAGACATATGCGCTATCTAGAGGCGGAATTTCAAAATACAAATCTGTCTTTGTAGCTATAAGATGGTCTGAAGGTATTGGAATATTTTGACAATATAATCTCATTTTTAGAAAAATTGCACTTATGACATGGTTTCTCCGGAGGCGCGATGTATTGTACTTAGTTGTGGGAGCTGTTCTAATCGCGACAAAGTTTGGTTTCATGCCATTCCTGCAGTGACAAAACGCAGGTTTTTGATGGAGAGAAACGATTTGTCTGTACTTTCTTGGGTTTCATGGATTATAGCAAAAGAGAAATAATCTGACAAAATCCATAATAAAAAACCAGAAAGTCTCTCCACATAAATGGCGTATGGATCCAAGCCATTTACTATCCTCAACTTGTGTCGATACCTTGAATAGTAGAAAAATATAATTAACATCAGGATTCAGGATTTGTTTGATAAAAAACTAAGCAAGAAACAAATCCCGGATAGTACCTACCTAATTAATTAGTAGGAATAGGTTGGTCACAAAGAAATCATACCTTTTGCCCAGTACTTAATTGCCAGCATCTGGGTTTTCCACTAATAGCTTCATAAAATAAAAACTCTCTATCTTAAAATACGAACATTATCCTTCCAAGCACTAAAAAATCACCTTGAAACACTACAAAAAACAGTGTTTTGATAAAAAAATGTCACTGTTGTTTGAATTAAATTTATGGCGCCAATTTCATTGCTTGTCACCTGGCATTGGCCGCAATTTTGTTTGATTGGATTGTCCTATTAGGTTAAGGGCGGATATTATAAAACTATTTTGACAGAATAACTAAAAGTTAACTTCTGGAATGACGTTACTTCTCATAAGGTCTGTTTCTGCAGAAATCACAAACCAGTCAGAGCGATTTTCATTGGTTGAAAACAGTCAGAAATCTAGTTTCAACGAATGAAATTCACTCTGACTGGTTTGTGATTTCTGCAGAAACGGACCTATAGTAATTCTAGAAGTTAACTTTTAGTTATTTGTCAAAATAGTTTTATAATACCCACCCTAAGTGTTCTTGTTGCATGGCAATGTAGGCCCACGGTAATATCAAGTTCTTCACAAGAAAACCAGATGGTGAGACAGTGATTGAAAACATATAGTGACTATTAAACCACAGTGGCGACTATATTACAAATCAAATCAAAAATAGCTCTATTAATACAAGAATATCTACATCTTGTTATCTAAGCAAACAAAAAATAGCGAAAACAATTTAATGTAACGTTTTTAAAGTAACGTTTTCTTGAATTAAATGAAACAAATTCAGTGTGCTGTTAAAATACTCTCACAAAATATACCAAAAACATTTAAATTAATAGAATAATAAGTCAACTTATTACACAATATCTACAAAATATAATGCAATAAGTCAATGAGTGAGAGGTGAAGGTCGTCTTCATTCCAAAAACCGGACGGAGCGACTACTCCGACCCAAAATCGTATCGACCCATTAGCCTCACTAGTTTCCTGCTCAAGACTCTGGAGAGGCTACTGGACCGGTATGTGAAGGAATCCACAGAACTGGCCTTGCACCACCTGGTCAGGAAGGTAGAAGGAAATCTGGTGTGTGGAAGGGCTAGTCTGGCGGCATTCCTTGACATTGAAGGGGCATTTGATAATACCCCTTTCAACATCATCTGCGATGCGCTCGAAGGGCGTGGCTTAGAGCCATGTCTGGTGAGATGGATAGAGGCCATGCTGTCGCAACGCTGAGTGTCCGCAGAGCTTAATAATGCGGTGGTTAGAGCGATGGCCGCCAGAGGCTGTCCGCAGGGCGGAGTTCTATCCCCGATTCTGTGGTGCCTGGTGGTTGACGACCTGATTATTAATCTAAACAAGGCAGGCTTGTATACTCAGGCCTATGCCGACGACCTGGTTATCGTTTGTCCGGGTAAGGACGCCGTCTAACTGCAGGGCCCTATGGCAAGGGCTCTGCGCATAGTGAACCGGTGGTGCCTTGCGGAAGGACTCAGGATAAACCCTAATAAGGCGGAGCTCCTACTCTTCTCCAGGAGACGCAACTTCGGCACACCGCCCAACATTTCTCTGGGAGGTGTGACTCTTAAGTACTCCAGGGTGGTTAAGTATCTAGGCGTGATGCTGGATTCTAAACTGTCCTGGTATGAACACGCAGAGAACAGAATGAAAAAGGCTACCTGTGCCCTTTGGGCATGTAGACGGGCCTTTGGTCCATGCGTACGGCCCCAACAAGGGCCCTGGAGACCCTCCTAGGTCTCCCGCCTCTGGACCTCGTGATTCAGTTCGAGGCCATGAGGACAGCCTATAGATTTTACGTCCTTGACGAAATGCGCACCGGCGAAACCGGACACGCGAGAATTTGGTCTCAGGCCGCAGAGAAATGTCCTGTCCTTCTGATGGGCAGCGATATCATGCGACCAGAGCTTGTTCATAGCAAAGGCTTGGAGGCCCATATCACTGAAAGAAGTGAATGGCTGGGCGGCTCCAAGCCAACTGTACTGAATAGTGGAGCTATCTGGTACACGGATGGCTCCAGAATGGATAACAGGTCAGGGGCAGGTTTTTGCGGAGGGTCCCCTAAAATTAGTAAATCCTTTTCTTTAGGGGAACCCGCTAGTGTCTTCCAGGCTGAAATTTTCGCTGTAATGGAGTGTGGTCGGGAAATTTTAAACCGGCGTCACAGGAATGCAGTCGTTTCAATCTGCTCCGACAGCAGAGCCGCTATCAAAGCAGAGCTGGGAGTAACGACAAAAAATAGTTACTTTACTTTAACGAGTTACTAAAAGTAACGCGTTACTTGGTAACTTCGTTACTTTTCAGATTGATTGATAAGTAACTGTAACGACGTTACTTTCCTGAAGTAACTGCAGATCGTTATTTTGTTAAAGTAACGAGTTACTATGAAAGTAGCGCGTTACTATGAAAATAACGCGTTTATATGAAAGTAACGCGTTACTAGTTACTATGAAAGTAACGCGTTCTCTCAATTTGTTTATCTTCTTTACAAATAATTGACAATTGAGGAAAAGGAAAATAAGTAATCCAAAAACTTTGTATGTCAAATAAAATGTGGGTAGTACAGAAAATTTGTTTTGAAAGCTCAAAATAATCGTTTTTGGGCTGGCACGCGCCGCCTCTGCTCTAAAGACAATATATGCAGACCCTGGGACGCTTCAAAAAGCAGGTTTGTCCAAAACCAAGTTCTCTATTTATGGTCATTTGCACCAGTGGCGTAGCCAGTGGGGGGGCAGGGGGGGCGACGGCCCCCCCCCCCGCCACTACACGTATGGCGCCCCTACCGCTCTTAAAAAACAAAAATAAGAAATTATAAAATTATGCTGTTTCTTATTTATTTTATTGACCTTTTCATCCTTTATTCTTTATCGTAAGTTGGCATTGTCGACAAATGGTTCACTTCAATCAAAGGAAACATGATAGTTTCTGCGTTTTGATAATTGATGTAGTTAAAATAAAAGTACCGTATACCGCCGATTTTTTCTGCCACTTCACTAATAATATCTGAAAAACAAAATTGAAAAACAATTATTATGAATTTCAATGTATTTATTTGTTTATCAAACTATAGGAGCTGTTATCCCTCCGGATTTTCACGAATTTGTTCTTATTTTTGAGGCGTCCGGGAGGATTTTTTTAAGTTAACGTTTTATCCACACATTACTTCTTTTAATACATAAATGTTTTTCGGGGTGGCACCCCAAAAAAAAATTGTTTTTGAAGACTTAAAATAAACTTTTTTGGGCGTGGCACCCGGGGAAATTTTTCGCCTCCGGCGGGCTTTTCGTCTTCAATATTTTCCCCCAATAAGCAAATAGTACAAAAGCATACAAACATTCAGTTGATACCCCCCCCTCTTCCAAAAGAATTATGCGTCCCCTCATATGTTTGCCCCTCCCGCCCCGCAAGGCTGGCTACGCCACTGATTTGCACCACTATCACTTAAGGGATATTAAGGGATATTTAATTTGAGTGGAGCTTTTGAATGTGACTTTTGTTTCTACGAGAGTCACAGTCAAAGCTCCACTTGGAT